ATGCCAGGATGCACTGGGGACTCGGAGATGAATTGGAAGTAGCAAGTCTCTAGGCTGTGACCTGGCCTGCCTCAGGGCCACAGAGCACTCTCACACCAAGGGAGACATGCACCCCTGAAAGCCTGATGGGTCCCCTAAGGAGATAGTGGGTGCCCTTCCCAGCTATGTGGCCTCAGGCCAAGTCAATCTGTCCTTCCTTCCTTCCCTCCTTTCCTCCCTCCCTCCCTCTCTCCCTCTCTTCCTCCTTCCTTCCCTCCTTCCCTCCCTCCCTCCCTCCCTCTCTCCCTCTCTCCCTCCTTCCTTCCTTCCTTCCTTCCCTCCTTCCTTCCTTCCTTCCGTCCCTCTCTCCCTCCCTCCCGCCCTCCTTCCCTCCCTCCTTGCTACCTTCCTTCCTTCCTTCCTCCTTCTTCCTTTTCTTTCTTCTTTTTTGTTTTTTTTTTTTTTTTGAGACAGGGTCTTGCTCTATTGCCTAGGCTGGTGTGCAGTGGTGGGATCTCGGCTCACTACAACCTCCACCTCCTGGGTTCAAGTGGTTTTCCTGCCTCAGCCTCCCAAGTAGCTGGGATTACAGGTGTGTACCAACCACACCCGGCTAATTTTTTTGTATTTTTAATAGAGACACGGTTTTGCCGTGTTGCCCAAGCTGATCTCCAACTCCTGGGCTCAAGTAATCCATCTGCTTTGGCCTCCCAAAGTGCTGGGATTACAGGCGTGAGCCACTGTCCCTGGCCTACAGCCAATTTCTTTACCAACACAAAGGGTTTCCAGGCTGCAGACTAGGAAGTCAGGAAGATCGAATTGTAGGTCCTCTCTGAACTTCAGCTTCTCCATGTATAAATAAAATAGTGAATACAAAATATTTATATGGACATCCAATGTGGCAGCTGTTACTATTTCTACCACCCTTTATACATTTATTGACTCAAAGTCGGGAAAGAAAAATCAAAAATGTCCTGATGTTACAGGGGCTGGAGTTACATGAAACAGACACCCTAACTGCTTCCAAAAGTTTGGAACTGTTATCCTCAGAACTGTAGGAAAGTTCACATGTAGGCCGACCCCATTCAGTGTTTCATAACTGCAACAAAGTTCTCAGCAGAAGCTACATTTCATGCAGGCCTCAGTAAAAAAAATCACAGAAGCTCACCAAGCGGCCGTCCTCCCCGTCCTCGCGCACAGTCTGATGCTCAGAATTACCATTTCCCTGTAAAAAGGCAATCCTCTAGAGGAATTTTTAGATCACGCAGCACATTTTAGAGCTTCTTCCCTTCGAACGCAAAACTCGATCCTGGCACAGCCGGGAGCAGGGTTTCGGATGAAGCTCGTGGGAATGTTTCTATCGCTGAGTGTTGCTCTACTTCTCAATTCTTGGAAGTGTCCCATAAATGTGATCAAAATTGCTGCCCCCATTTATGCCAGCTTCCATTTGCCTCTTTGCTTCGTCTCCTGCTCCAGAATGGTCCCAGAAGATGCTTTTCAGGCCTCCCTCTGCTCGGCCAAGCTGGGCTCAGCACTGGGACCTCCCAGCATCACAGCAATGGGTATTGTTGAGCAGTGACTGTGTGCCAGGTGCTGCGCTGGGCACCAGGGATACCACCAGGAACAAGACAGATACGGCCCTGCCCCTCCCCCAGAGCGCAAGGGCTGGAGACATGGAAGGCAGAGCTGTGATTCAGAGTGCTTGAGGCTCCCCAGGAGCAAGGCTGGGCCTGGCAGTGCCCAGAGGAGGGGCCCCTAGCCTTCTAGGGTCCAGGGAAGGCTTTTCTGAAGAAGCGGCAACTACACTGAGGCCAAAAGATGAGTGGGCAAGAGTCCAGAGCAGTGGGGCAGTCCTCACAGAGGCGCTTCCAGGCCAAGTGTACCACTTGGTTTGTAGTGCAAGACAAACAATCCCAACACTTCATGGCTTAAAACAACAAACAGCATATCGTTCATGACTGGATCAGCTGGGCAGTTCTGCTGAACCAAGCTTGGTCGATTTTGGCTGGGCTCATTCTAGCATCTGTGGTCAACTGGAGGGTTGGCTGGGGACTGGCTGGTTGGCCCTCAGATGGCAGGATAACAGGGGCGATGGCCATGGGCCTCAGCATCTGGCAGGCTAGCTAGGGCCAGTTCACATGGCAACGGGACTGGCATACTATCCCTTCTGCCGTGTTTCATTGGTCAAAGCAAGTCACAAGATTTAAGGAATGCCCTGAGATTTAAGAAATGTGGGAGGGGCCAGGCACAGTAGCTCATGCCTGTAATCCCTACATTTTGGGAGGCCAGGAGTTCAAGACCAGCCTGGGCAACATAGCAGGTATGCATTTCTACTATACACACACACACACACACACACATTTTTTTAATTAGCCCGGCATAGTGGCATATGCCTGAGTCCCTGCCACTTGGAAGACTGAGGTGAGCGATCACTTGAGCCCAGAAGGTCAAGGCTGCAGTGAGCTATGATTGCACCACTGCACTCCAGCCTGGGCGACAGAGTGAAACCGTCTCAAACAACAGACAAACAAACAAGAAATGTGAGAGGGCTGCGAAGTTGCGATTACAAATGGGCATAGATATGGGCAGGAGTGAAAAACTGGGGGCAGTTCTGCATCAATTCAACACACACACAGGAGACAAGAGCGGCCGGATATCAGCACATGGCCCGTTCCAGAAGCCACAGTGTGGGTGAATTGTGGGATTCAAGCGGGGAGGAGGCTGCTTAAATCAGACTGAAGAGCTTGGACTTTCACCCAAGGGCAGTGGAGAGCCATGAAGGGTGGTAGGCAGGGGAGTGAGATCTGATTTCACTTTGGAACACCTTGATGGCCACAGCTTCCTGGAGTCCAGATCTCTGGTGCTGGAGAGTCCTCTGGGAAAGTTCCAGAATAAAGAGACTCCCTAGAGCAGAATGCCTGTCTGTTTAAAACCCATCCCTTCCTCAGAGGTAACCACTTCTACTATTACATTGGTATGAATCCACTCAGAACTTTTTTCTACTGCTTGTATTGGTAAAAGAAAAAAACAAAAACAGTTTTAAAAAATTAAAACGAACCGTTGTGCTTTCTCTCTCTCTCTCTCTCTCCCTCTCTCTCATGCGCGCGCGCACACACGCACACAGAGTTTTGTCTTCTCAGTAATGGGGGCATACTTTCCGACACATTCTGGCTCACTCCTTTTCACGGCTGTGTACTGTTCCCCTGTGCAAACAGGCCACAGTTTACTTGTCCACTCTCCACCTGATGGGCATTTATGTTGTTCTGAATTTCTGCTAAGAATGAAATAAACGTCTTTGCATGTTTGTCTCAGATTTGCACCTAGAGTGGAATGGGCGGGTTGTGGCGTGAGTCCCTCCTTAGTTGTATGAAACGTTGCTGAATTGCTTTCTAAGGCGGCTACCAGCTTCATCCCCACCCCTCAGCAGCTACGCTTTCTCCGAATTCTGGTCACTCAGTATTGACAGATGTTTACATCTTGGTCATTTTGCTGAGTGTGAAATACAGCCTCATCCTTGTTTTTTTTTGTTGTTGTTGTTGTTTGTTTGTTTGTTTGAGATAGGGTCTTACTCTGTAGCCCAGGCTAGAGTGCAGTGGTGTGATCACAGCTCCCTGCAGCCCAGACCTCACGGCTCATCTGATCCTCCTGCCTCAGCCTCCCAGGTAGCTGAGACTACAGGTACACAACACCATGCCCAGCTAATGTTTATATTTTTTTGTAGAGACGGGATTCTACTTTTTTTGCCTAGGCTGGTCTTGAACTCCTGGGCTCAAGAGATCCTCTTGCCTCAGCCTCCCAAAGTGCTGGGATTACAGGTGTGAGCTACCACACCTGACCCCTCATCCTTGCTTTAATCCACCTTGTCATTTCATTTCATTTCATTTATTTTTTTTTTTATTTTTGAGATGGAGTTTCATTCTCGTTGCCCAGGCTGAAGTGCAATAGCAGAATCCTGGCTCACTGCAGTCTCCACCCACCAGGTTCAAGTGATTCACCTACCTCAGCTTCCTGAGCAGCTGGGACTGACTACAGGTGTGCACCTCCATGCCCAGCTAATTTTGTATTTTTAGTAGAGATGAAGTTTCACCATGTTGGCCAGGTGGGTCTCAAACTCCTGACCTCAGGTGATCCCCCTAACCTCGGCCTCCCAAAGTACTGGGATTACAGGTGTGAGCCACCATGCCCAGCCCACCTTGTCATTTTAGACAGCTGCAGAATATTCTATAGAAAGGGCGTGATTTAGCTAGGCTCTGGGTGTTCAATTGGAATTTAAAAAAAATTTTTGTCAATTTGATGGGGAAAAGTAGTATTTCACCATTCAGTTTGAATTTTCTCAAATGCCAAGGAGGTTGTGTGTCCATTTTCCTGTTCCTCAGCCTTTAGGCTGGTGAATTGCCTGCTGACATTTTGTCCATTGCCCGAGTGGATGTTGTCCTTATCTATGAAGACTTCTGCGAAGCATCCTCCCTTATTGTTTCCTTTCTTAAAAACCAAAACCAAAGGAGGGCACAGACCCAGAGAGCCTGGCTGGCCGCAGAAGGGGCTGCTGCCTGACGTAGCTGGGCTGCCTCCAACTGCTACTTTTTGAGAAACTGAGGCCAGCAGTGGTTCGGGGCAGCCCATCGCCCACCTCGTGGGATTAGAGGGCTGCCTCAGTGGCCTCCCTGCCAACACAGGTGACCCCAATTCCTCATCAGCATCTCCAGCCCCTAGTAGGCAGAGGTCACAGGTGGGATCAAGCATCTCAGCCCCATCATCGCACCAAGGGACTGAGACCCAGGGAAGTCAAGTGACGCCCAAGCTTACACAGGAGTGGGTGGTCTAGCTGGGGCTCCCTGCAGAAGGCAGGGCTGCTGTACCGGATCCCACGCCACCAGACCCAATCAGCGGCTCGGAGCGCTCCCAGCCCAATCAGGGCTGAGTGGAGTGGTGGGTGCGGGCTGTTGGTATATAAGCCTAGCAGGCAGGCCTGATAGCCTGACACCCAGGTGAGGGGTCTGCCAGTTGCACCGGTCGGCCTCATGGCTTCCAGGAGCGTCACCAGCAAGCGCTCACCCTCCTCGACTTCCACCGAAGGATCATCCAGGTCTCCTGAATCTGAAAAGCCAGGTAAACAAGAGGAGGCAGCCCCTCCCTCATCCCTGTGAGCCCACTCCCTGCGTTGCCCTTGACTGACCAGCCCCACTCCTGTCCTCTCCGGGCCTGGCCCCAGCACCCACCCAGCACCCACCCAGCACCCAACTGCTGAGCTCAACTGCCTTTTGGCTGAAAAGCCAATTCACAGGTAGCAAGGCCCAGTAGGGCTGGGGGGCTGGGCCCACCTAACTCAGGCGAAGAGCAGCAGGGCCTCCCAGCTGCAGCCAGTTTCCTGCAGGAGCCTGTAGCCTATAGACGGGCTGCAGCTGCAGGCAGCTAGTTGGAGGGACTAGGGCGGGAGCATTCTACCCAGAGTGAGGCATTCCAGTTTTCAACCAACCAACAACTCAGGGTTGCTCTGGACAGGAGGGTCCACCGTGGCAAACCAGTTCACTACCTTGAGGACCACCCAGTCTGATGGGGAAGCCTGGCCCATGGCTAGGTGCTGTTTGCTAATGTGCTGTGTACTTCAATGGCAGTAATCCAGAGAGCTGGAGGAGCCCAGAGGAAGCCCCCAATCCATTCTGGGAGGTCAGGGAAGGCTTCCCAGAAGAGGTGACCCTGAAGAATGGGTGTGCCTCACCCAGGGAAGTGTTCTATCTCCCAAGACACCTAGGGAGATAGGTTGGGGGTCCAGGTGCCAAACAGTACAAGGGCAGAGTTAACTGGGAAGTCAGAAATCAGGGGAGGTGTCCAAGCCAAGGTGCATTTTGAGCCTTGAAGGATGAGTGAGAGCAGACTGCATGGCCGGGAGGAGAGACATCCCAGGCAGAGGAAAGGGCATGGGCCAAGGCCCAGGGTCCAGCGGGCCAGCAGCATGTCTCAGAAGCTGCATCTTCCCGCTGGGAGGAAAGAAAGGAAATGCTAGGGCAGTGCTGGGGGAGCAGTGGGAGCAGTGGGAGCCGTGGCCCATCGGACAGGGCCTGCAAGGCGGTCTTCAATTAGGTCAACTTTTACATTGAACAGGGAGCCATGGAGGGAGGTGAGGGGTGTGAGATGCAGTGAGGAGAATGCATGGGGTGGGGAAGAGGCAGTGGGGAGGAGGCTGGGGCTGCGGGGCTGGAGAGGAGAGGCCAGAATATGGAGAGAAAAGCCTACGGAGAGGCCTGGGATGAGTGTGGTGGCAAGGAGAGGGCTCCGAATGCCCCCAGTTCTTGATTGGATATTGGGTAGGTATGGGCAGTGGGGGTGTGGGGCATTCCTGGAAGAGATGAAGGGCAGATTTGGGGGGCTGAGCTCTGTTCTGGACATCCTGGTATACAGCAGGCATTGAAGAGTTGCCAAATGAGGGGCTTGGGCCAGAGGGGACAGGCCTGAGGGAGGACTCTTAGGGGTGGCTCTCTGGGACAGACATGGTCTGGAGGAAGCAGAGGAGGGGTTGGAGCTGCTCCCTGAGGTCTGGCCAAGCAAAGATCCTTGGGAAGCTCTATAGCACTGTAGCTGGGAGGGCTCAGACCTCCTTAGAGGCCCCATCCCCACTGTACAGATAGGAAGACTGAGGCCTAGAGGGCAAAATGAAACTCCTGAGAACCCGGGAGTGACCTAGGACTATATCAGCTCAATGGCTTTGGCTCCCAAATGAATATCCCCGCACTGGGCTCATTGTGGCCTGAACGTGGCAGGGGTTGAACTGGATTCAGTCGCTATAAATCTGCTTTAGGTCCACAGTTTCAGACTGGTTTTTTCTATTGAAAAAAATTTTAATATAGCCAATTGACTTTTTTGTCTTTTTTTTTTTTTTTGAGACAGGGTCTTGCTTAGTCACCCAGGCTGGAGTGCAGTGGTGTGATCTCAGCTGACTGCAATCTCCATTTTCCAGGCTGAAGCAATCCTCCCACCTCAGCCTCCCAAGTAGCTGGGACTATAGGCACACACCACCAGACTCTGCTCATTTTTAAAGGCTTTTGTAGAGTCGAGGTCTCACGATATTGTCTAGAATTTAAACTTTTAAATTCTGCAGCTTCCACATTTCCAATCACCACATTTAAATCCAGTTTCATATTTAAAATCCTTTTAATGCTTTTCATGGTGACTGACAGCTTCTCGTGCTTCTCCTCACCCTTGATTCTACTTCATTTGCAACTTTTTTCTAACAGCGTATTGAGAAATAATTCCCAATACAATACAAATCACCCTTTAAAGTGTACAATGGCTTTAGTATATTCAGAGTTGTGTATCCATCTCTACAGGCAATTTTAGAACATGTTCATCACTTCAAGACAACCAGTACCCATTAGCAGTCGCTCTCCACCCCCACTCCCCAGCCCTGGCAACCGCCAATCTGCTTTCTGCATCTACGGATGTGCTTATTCTGGACATTTCACATAGATGGAATCAGACAGTATGTGGCTTTTTCTGACTTTTTTTTTTTTTTTTTTTTTTTTTTTTCTTAAACAGAGTCTTACTCTGTTGCCCAGGCTGGAGTGCAGTGTCGTGATCTCAGCTCACTGCAATCTTCACTTCCAGGGTTCCAGCGATTCTCCTGCCTCGGCCTCCCAATTAGCTGGGACTACAGGCGCATGCTACCATGCCCGGCTAATTTTTGTATTTTTTAGTAGAGACAGGGTTTCGCCATATTGGCCAGGCTGGTCTTGAACTCCTGACTTCGTGATCCACCCACCTCGACCTCCCAAAGTGCCGGGATTACAGGCATGAGCCACCACGCCCGGCCCCACTTAGCATGTTTTTAGGGCTCCTCCATGTCGTAGCATGTGCCAAGGCTTCAGTCCTTTGGCTGGCTGGATACTATTCCACGGGGTGGATAAAGACCACATTTTGTGCATCCATCTGTCCATCATTCATCATGGGCGTTTTTTGTCTTTGGGCCGACATGAATTCTGCTATGAACATTCATGTATACGTTTTTGAGTGGACACATGTTTTCATCTCCCTTTGATATATACCTAAGAATGGAAATTTTTGGTGACTTTTTATTATGAAAACTTTCAGGACCGAGCATGGTGGTTCATGCTTGTAATCCCAGCACTCTGGGAGACTGAGATGGGAGGATAGCTTGAACTCGGGAGTTTGAGACTAACCTGACCAATGTAGTGAGACTCCTGTGTCAAAAAATAATAATAATACAAAAATTAGCCGGGCATGGTGGTGTGTGCCTGTGGTTCCAGGTACTTTGGAGTCTGAGGTGAGAGGCTCGCTTGAACTGGGGAGGTCAAGGCTGCAGTGAGCCATGATTGTGCCACTGCACTCCAGAATGGGTGACAGATTGAGACCCTGTCTTAAAAAACTTTCAAATGGATACAAAAGTAGACCACCAAATGGTCTGTGACTCCCTTCCACTGTACCCGGCCCCCACTCCAACGGTCTTCAGCTTGTGGATGCTCTTGTTTCATCTGCTGGGTTATTTCAAAGCAAATGCTGGATTTATCTTTCATTTTATCTGTAAATATCTTTTACAATAGTTATCTTTAACAGGTAAGAAACTTTTAAAAAGCCATCGCAATACCATTAGCACACCTGAAACAGTATTATCCTTAATATCCAATATTTCCTTCCAGTGCTCACATTTATCTGTAGCCTTTCTTTTTCTAGTTGGGTTGTTCAAATCCTGCTGTGGGAATGAGCATTTGGTTGAGAGGTTTCCTAAGAATCTTTAGTCCATAGGGTGTGCCTCCCACTTTTCCTTTTCCCCCTTGTTTGTGGAAGAAGGAAACCAGGCTGTGTGCCCTGGAGAGTCTCTATGTCAGGGTGCCTCTGAGAGTGTGCACCAAGCCCCTGGAGGGCCTGTAAACTGGTAGTTACGTCTAGAAAATTCATCTGGTTTCGAGTTTTTTAAAGGAATATTTAATTCTTTGTTTTTTTAATTCTTCTTCCTTCCATATATGTATTTTTAAATTTATTTATTTTACTTTAGGTGCATACTGTATCTGGCATTTCTCCCCATGTTATCCCTCCCCGTCCATCCTTCCCTCCCTCCCTATCCCCTACTGTCCCTCCCTTGCCCACCTGCCCCCCAACCCGCCGCCAAAAGACCACAGTGTGTGATGCTCCCCTCCCTGTGTCCGTGTGTTCTCATGGTTCAACACCTGCCTGTGAGTGAGACCATGCGGTGTTTGGCTTTCTGTTCTTCTGTCAGTTTGCTGAGAATGATGGTTTCCAGATTCATCCAAGTCCCTACAAAGGACACGAACTCATCGTTTTTTGTGGCTGCGTAGTAGTCCATGGTGTATATGTACCACATTTTCTTTGTCCAGTCTATCATTGATGGGCATTTGGGTTGGTTCCAGGTCTTTGCTACTGTACACGGGGCTGCAGTGAACACACACATGTGCATGTGTCTTTATAGTAGAACGACTTATAGTTCTTTGGGTATGTGCCCAGTAATGGGATTGCTGGTTCAAATGGAATTTCTATTTCTAAGGCCTTGAGGAATCACCACACTGTCTTCCACAATGGTTGAACTAATTTACACTCCCACCAACTGTGTAAGAGTATTCCTGTTTCTCCACATCCTCTCCAGCATCTGTTGTCTCCAGATGATTTAATGATCACCATTCTAACTGGCGTGAGATGATATCTCAGTGTGATTTTGATTTGCATTTCTCTAATGACCAGTAATGATGAGCATTTTTTCATATGTTTGTTGGCCTCATATATGTCTCCTTTTGAAAAGTGTCTATTCATATCCTTCACCCACTTTTGAATGGGGTTGTTTGTTTTTTTCTTGTATGTCTGTTTTAGTTTTTTGAAGATTTTGGATATTACCCTTTGTCAGATGGGTAGATTGCAAAAATATTTTCCCTTTCTGTTGGTTGCCAATTCGCTCTAATGATGGTTTCTTTTGCTGTGCAGAAGCTCTGGAATTTAATTAGATCCCATTTGTCTATCATGGGTTTTATTGCCATTGCTTTTGGTGTTTTAGTCATGAAGTCCTTGCCTATGCCTATGTCCTGGATGGCTTTGCCTATGTTTTCTTCTAGGGTTTTTATGGTGTTTTATGGTTCTAGTATTTTATGGTTTTATGTTTAAATCTTTGATCCATCTGGAGTTAATTTTAGTGTAAGGTGACAGGTAGGGGTCCAGTTTCTGCTTTCTGCACATTGCTAGCCAGTTTTCCCAACACCATTTATTAAACGTGGAGTCCTTTCCCCATTGCTTGTTTTTGCCATGTTTGTCAAAGATCAGATGGTTGTAGGTGTGTGGTGTTTCTTCTGAGGTCTCTGTTCTGCTCCATTGATCTATATCTCTGCTTTGGTACCAGTACCATGCTGTGTTGATTACTGTAGTCTTGTAGTATAGTTTGAAGTCAGGCAGTGTGATGCCTCCGGCTTTGTTCTTTTTGCTTAGGATTGTCTTGGCTATGTGAGGTCTTTTGTGATTTCATATGAAGTTTAAAGTGGTTTTTTCCAGTTCTGTGAAGAAGGTCATTGGTAGCTTGATGGGGAGAGTGTTGAATCTATAGATTACTTTGGGCAGTATGGCCATTTTCATGATGTTGATTCTTCCTAACCATGAGCAGGAAATGTTTCTCCATCTGTTTGTGTCCTCTCATTTCGTTGAGCAGTGGTTTGTAGCTCTCCTTGAAGAGGTCCTTTACAATCTTTGTCAGTTGTATTCCTAGATATTTTGTTTTCTTTGTAGCAATTGTGAATGGGAGTTCTCTCTTGATTTGGCTCTCTGTTTGTCTGTTATTGGTGCATAGAAATGCTTGTGATTTCTGCATATTGATTTTGTATCCTGAGACTTTGCTGAAGTTGCTTATCAGTTTGAGAAGATTTTGGGCTGAGGGGATGGGGTCTTTTCGATATATAATCACATCATCTGCAAATAGAGACAATTTGACTTCCTCCTTTCCTAATCGAATACCCTCTATTTCTTTTTCCTGCCTGATTGCTCTGACAAGAACTTCCAATACTATGTTGAATAGGAGTGGTGAGAGAGGGCATCCTTGTCTAGTGCCTCATTTCAAAGGGAATTCTTCCAGCTTTTGCCCATTCAGTATGATATTGGCTGTAGGTTTGTCATATATAGCTTTATCATTTTATGACATGTTCCATCAATACCTAGTCTATTGAGAGTTTTTAGCATGAAGGGCTGTTGAATTTTATCGAAGGCCTTCTCTGCATCTATTGAGATAATCATGTGGTTTTTGTCTTTGGTTCTGTTTATGTGACGGATTACATTAATGGATTTGCATATGTTGAACCAGCCCTGCATGCCCAGGATGAAGCCTACTTGATCGTGATGGATAAGCTTCTTGATGTGCTGTTGCAATCTGTTTGCCAGTATTTTATTGAAGATTTTTGTGTCGACGTTCATCATGGATATTGGCCTGAAGTTTTCTTTTTTAGTTGAGTCTTTGCCTGGAATCAGGATGATGTTGGTCTTATAAAATGAGTTAGGGAGGGTTCCCTCCTTCTGTATTGTTTGATACAGTTTCAGAAGGAATGGAACCAGCTCCTCTTTGTACGTCTGGTAGAATTCGGCTGTGAACCCATCTGGACCTGGACTTCTTTTGGTTGGTAGGCTATGGATAGCTGCCTCTACTTCAGCCCTTGTTATTGGTCTATCCAGGGTTTCAGCTTCCTCCTGGTTTAGTCTGGTAGAGTACAAGTGTCTAGGAATGTATCCATTTCTTCCTGGTTTACTGGTTTATGTGAGTAGAGCTGTTTGTAGTAACTGATTGTAGTTTGTATTTCCGTGGGATCAGTGGTGATATCCCCTTTATTGTTTTCTATTGCATCTATTTGATTCTTCTCCCTTTTTCTTTAAAAAAAAAAAGACTTGACCGGGCATGGTGACTCATGGCTGTAATCCCAGCACTTTGGGAGGCCAAGGCAGGTGGATCATGAGGTCAGGAGTTCGAGATTAGCCTGGCCAACATGGTGAAACGCTGTCTCTACTAAAAATACAAAAAATGAGTTGCGCGTGGTGGTACGCACCTGTAATCCCAGATAGGAAGCTGAGGCAGGAGAATCACTTGAACCCAGAAGGCAGAGGTGGTTGCAGTGAGCGGAGATCGTGCCAGCCTGGGTACAGAGCGAGACTGGGGACAGAGGGAGAGAGAGAGACTGACTGACTCAATGAGCTTTGAGGGAGACTGTCCAGGAGCTTTCATGCCAGCATTTAGTGTCTTGGTGAGAGGGGGCACCTGATCCTTACTGGGTCCTCAGCCACACCCCACTGGCCAGCTGACACCTGCCACTGAATTATGACTGGGCCCCAGGTGATGGCCTGCCATCTGTCCTCAGGTCCAAGCCGCAGCAGCTTCCCAGTGGGACGCCGCCACCCCCCCACGCTGCAAATGGTGCTGGAGGCGATGCAGGTGCTGCAGGCAGAGGAGCAGCGCCAGGGCACATCGGTGGTAGCCATCAAGCGCTACATCCTGCGAAAGTACCCCGCAGCAGATGGCCCTCGCTTCAAGTACCTGCTGAAGAACGCGCTGGCCACTGGCATGTGCCGTGGCCTCCTCGCCAGGCCCCCCCACTTAAAAACCAGGGGGGCCACTGGCAGCTTCCAAGTAAGCACTCATGTGGGAGAATGTGGCCCAGGGTTGCAGTGATAGTCCTGGCCTCTGCGAGAGCTGCAGCCTCTCCTGGATGGCCTTTCCCCTCCAGTCCCCTCTTTGTGCTCCTCCTGTAGTCTCGGCCGAGATGCCCTCTCCTCCAGGAAGGCCGGTGGTGTGCTCCATCTGAGCTCCCACACTGCAAGGGTCACCCTGTCGGTGTCCGGGACAGGTGAACTGTTGCATGTTTGGGATCCCAGGGTGCCAGCTGTGCTCATTTCTGGGTCCTGGGCACATAGCCCCTTCCTGGAATTCCTCACCACAGCAAAGAGATTTCCCCCTGCTCTCTCCGGCTCCAAGACCAGGTTAGGGCTGGCGCCTCCCTGAGCAGCCACGTCCTCTGTTTCAAAGGAGAGCGTTTTATCCTCATAAGGAGACACCAAGAGGGGATCCATGCCAGGTCATTCAGAGCTGGGGCAGGTCTGGGACAAAACTGCACCCCAGCATCAGGACTGTCATCAGCCATCAGGAAAACCTCAGGGACCAGACCCAGGACCTGACTTGTCATTGCCGGGCCCCTGCATCTTGCCCAACTTCCGGCACATAGCAGCTGCCGTGACAGTTGCCATGGAACACTGGGGAACATTCTCGGCCTACCCTGTGCCGGTCCCTGTGGTTGCCAGGTGACAGATCACATGAAGTCCCACCATGGTGGAACTCCTGGGTGCCAGTCAGAGCCTGGACTTGCGTCATGGCAGGGCCAGGTGGCTGGGCAGGGGAAGAGCCAGGGGGTGTCTGGTGTTTGATGCGGTGTGCTGGCAGTTGGGGGCTGCGAGTGGTTTCTAATCTTGGTCATGGGAAGCCCTGAGGTTTGGGGGGCAGGAAAGGAACAGCTTGCCAGGAGCCTTCCCTTACCCTGCCACTCACGCCCTTGGTGATGGTCTCCTGTAAAGATGAGAAGAGGAGGCTGTGGTACATGGCTGGAGGGGGCGGAGGAAGCCATAAGCACAGAGCCATCTGCCCTCAGCCCATGTTCTGCTGAGTATCAAGGGGCAAGGTGGCAGGGGCATGGGGCATGAGGCAGGGCGGCAGTGCAGGGTGGTGGGGGAGGGGGAGTCCAGAGGCATGATCTGTGGGAAAGTGGCAGGTGCAGGGGGTGTGGCTGAGAGGTCATGAGATCCTAGAATTGTAGTAGACAGTGCCTGTGAGGATGGTGGCTTTGTGCCTTCTGCCCGACCCTCATTGACTGCAGAGCCCCCAGGTTTGGAATAAGGCCTCCCATTTGGAGAATGGCAGATATCAGGCACCTGAGGCTCTGCTCTCAGTCCTACCCCATTCTCTCTTCCAGTTAGTTACCAACCACGAGAGGACAATCAAGCCCAGGAAGACGGCCTCCCCGAAGGCCCCCAGGAGAGCAGGCGTGGCCAAGGGGAAGGTCCCCAAGAAACCAGATGAGGCCAAGGAGGAGCCTCCCAAGGCAGGCAAGGGGAAAAAGGGAGCCAAGAGTCCAGCGGAGGTGCAGAAGCCTCCCCTCAAGCCAGGCACAGACACAGAAAAAGCTTGCAAAGAAAGCAGCAAGGCCAAGGACACCGAGGCACAGCCAGGTGAGGCTCAGAAGGTGCCCCCCAAGCCAGACAAGGCCATGCGGGCCCCTTCTAATGACAGTGGGTTCAGCAGGAGGGCAGAGGTCAAAGGCAGCTGGAGGAGCCCAGCTAACTGTGTGACTTGTGGAGGGTGGTGTGGGTATAGGGGTTTTGACAACCACTGGAATGGGATTGGGGAGCCAGCTCTGGAGAGGGCTTTCCTTATCTAGTGCACGTGCCCTGAGTGCTGGGCTTGACCTGGAGAGAGAGAACTCGTGGTAGGTAGTTAGGGGAAGGAGGCAGACATTTCAAGGATTATGAAGGGGGAACAGAGACCAGGGCCTGACTCGTCCTTGAGGCAGGGGTCAGGGAAGGCTTCCTGGAGGAGGTGTCCCAAGCAGGGGAAGAGGCTGTGCAAAGGCCTGAAGGCATAAAGAAGGTAGGGTTTTTGGGTCAGGCACAGTGGCTCATGCCTGTAAGCCCAACACTTTGGGAGGCCAAGGCGGGCAGGTCACTTGAAGTCAGGAGTTTGAGGCCAGCATGGTCAACATGGTGAAACACCATCTCTGCAAAAACTCAAAAATTAACTGGGCATGGTGGTGCATGCCTATAATCCCAGCTTCTTGGGTGGCTGAGGCAGAAAAATCACTTGAACCCAGGAGGCAGAGGTTGCAGTGAGCGGAGATCGCGCCATTGCACTCCAGCGTGGGTGACGGAGTGAGACTCTGTGTCAAAACAAAACACAAATGGAACGTGGAGTTGTTGAGGAACTGCAGATATTTTGGTCTTCCTGCAGTGTTGGCAAGGAGAAGCTGTGAAGGGCAGCTGAATAGGGGCTTTATCTGGAGGACAGTGTGGAGCTGTGGAAGGATTCTGACAGGAAGCAGCTCAGGCTAGAGTCCTTCTTTTGTTCCTTCTTGCTCTTTCAGAGACAGGTTCTTGCTCTGTCACACAGGTGAGTGCTGAGCCCAGGAGATAGAGACTAGCTGGGGCAACACAGTGGGATCCCAGCTGTGCTTGCTCTTGCACACCTGTCGCCCCAGCTACTCGGGAGGCTGAGGCAGGAGGATCACGTGAGCCTGGGAGGTCAAGGCTGCAGTGAGCTGAGATCACAACACCACGCTCCAGCCTGAGTGACAGAGTGAGACCCTGTCTTGAAAGAAAAGAAAAGTATCCTGGCTGCCTGGTGGAAGACAAACTAAAGACTAGAGGTGACAGACCTGTTAGGAGCCTGTGGCATCTGTGGGCTTGGAGCCCCAGTGCTTTGTATAGAGCAAGGGCTCCAGTTAATCCTCCAGCTACTCTGAGGGGAGTGCTGTTATTCCTGTCTTCAAACTAGGCCACTGAGGCTCAGGGTGGCTAAACGATTTGCTGCATGTCACATAGCTGAGTGAAGACTAGGGCCCAGGAGGAATGGGGGTTCCAGAGCCCCTGAAACTTCCTGCCCCACCAGCAGTTTCTCTTCCTTCTCCCACAAAACCTTCTCCATCACATTCCAGGAGGTGCTGAGGCCAGCAGGAAAACCAAAGCTGGGAGTAAGAGTTTAAGACCCACGGTCAGCAAGGTAGGTGCCTGCCCGACTTTCCTGGTCTGGCTGGCTACCCTGTACAGGCCAGCGCTTGGGCATCCCACACCCAGCCCCTGGAACGGTCAGCTGGGGATGGGTGTCAATTTCTTTTCGTACAAAGCACAGTCCACCACCTTCTCTCTGGTCCCCCGGCCCCCTGGCGGTGTTGCCATCCTCGTCTTAGAAATGAGAGACTAAGGCTTAGAAGGGAAATGTTGTGTACCCAGAGCCATCCAGAGCTGCGATTTCAGACCTTCCCAGCTGTCTCGTTGCTTCTGGTTTGCTTTTGTATAGGTCAAGAGTGGTACTGCTTCCCTAACCGAAAAGAAGTCGGTGGCCCGGGCCAAGGCCCAGTCCCAGGCCCCTGCCCCCACTGGGGCTGGGCAGGGGCCGAATGCCAAGGGTGCTTCTGCTAAGGCCGGTGGGTCCAAGGTGGTACCTGCACATCTGTCCAGGAAGACGGAGGCCCCTAAGGGCTCGAGAACGGCTGGGCTGCCCATCGACATCAAGTTCCCATCATCCAAAGTGTCCAGCCAGAGGGCTGAAGCTTGGGGCCGGAGGCAGGGGTGGAGAGATACTTAGCCTCTGTCCTCGTTTTTATTCTTGAACAAACTATTGCTCTATTTATTTAATTCTAACCTATTTATCAATAAAGACTTGTTTATTTTCCCCTGCAATTGTGTGGGTAGGGGCTGAGGTTCAAGGACTTGGCCATTCGGTCCTCCACGAGCATCCCCTGAGCACCTGCTGTTTACCTGGCTAATGCTGGGGCTCAGATAGGAGGTCCTGCCTCGGGGAGACTGTGTGCTGTATGGAGCTGCGGCACAGACATCAGATATTGAGATGCAAAGGAGCTGGTGGGGATTAACCCGGCCCTGAGATCAGGCTTCCAGGAGGAGGTGGCTTTTGATCCTAAAGGATGGGTAGCCTTTGCCAGGTGGATGGGGCCGAGGGTGTCGTGTGAGGGGTGGGGTGAAAGGAGGGGGATCTGTTTAGAAAGAACCCTCTGGCTGTGGAAAGGAAAGATTAGAGTGGCTGAGAAGAGAGGGAGACCTTTCAGCCACTGGTTCTGAAGTGCTACTGGGCCAGGCACAGCGACAGTCAACAGGTCTCCTACTCTGCAGCAGCCAGCACCTGTGCTCTGAAGAGGAGGCGGGGTGGGGCTTCCAGCGGGGCAGGTAGGGCTGGCTGCTAGTTTGAGACAGGATGGGAGGGGCTGTCTGAGCAAGGACCTTGTGTCTGGATTGGGTCACATTTCAGCAGAAGGAAGAGTGGGTGCAAAGGCCCTGGGGTGGGAACACGTTCCACAGGAAGGTTTGTGAGGCTACAGCCCAGTAAAGAGAAGGACAGGCATGGGAGATGAGGACCAGGGGCTTTAAAAACATTCTCGGCACCCTTCACATGGAGAGGCGGGCTCCATGACTGCTTGACTAGTAGAGTTCAGTGACAATGACGTGATGACAATTCCTGGGCCCCACCTTAAGGCAGCTTCTAGTTCTTGTGTTTGGGGACGGTTCTTGTTTTGTGATACTCACTCTTCGAACTTGGCCACCATTCTATGGGGAAGCCCAAGCAGCTTGTGGAGAGGAACTGAGGATCCCACCGTTCAGCCCCCGCTGAACTCCCTGACCAGCTGGTACCATCTGCCACTGCCTGAGTGCAGCATGTCGGAACTGCATCTTCCAGCCCTAATTGAGCTGCCCCAGAAGACACCTGGTGAAGCGGGGACAAGCCTTTCTTGCCAAGCCCTGTCCCGATTGCAGATTCGTGGACAAAAGAAGTGACTGCTGTTATTTCAAGCCCCTATGTCCTGGGGTGGTGTGTCCCGAAGCAATGGATCTTTCTAAACAGATCCCCTCATTTCACCAGAACAAGGGCTGTAGGGTAGATGAGGGCTGGATCACGCAGGGCCTTGTAAGCCCAGGGCAAGCACGGTGGGCTTTATTTTAATTGTTAATAGGGAACCATTAGAGGACGGCCAGCAACAGAGTCACTGCAGGGATGTGGACAGTCAGGCCTTCGAGGAGGCCCCTGCCACTGCCCAGATGAGGGAGTGGTGGCCAGCCAGGACGTGCTCACGGAGCAAGTGGTTACAAGTGGTAGATTCTGCGTCGCTGCTGAAGGCGGTGTGGACAGGCTCTGCTGATGGACTGAATGGAGGAAGGGTCACTGATGAGTCCGCAGTTGGGGGTCTAGACAGCTAGGTGACTGCTGAGTGATCATTCCTGAGGTGAGGACTCGGCACGTGCTGGGAGGCTGCTGAGATGTGGTCCTGATGAGAGGTAGCAGCCAAGACACGGAGGACAGAGAGGAGGGGTAGACTAAAGGGAGTGTCAGAGGCAAACTGCACAGGCCTTGAGAGAGGGGCAGACAGCACAGAGGGAGGCAGGCTGCTCAGCACAGGGCAACAGCCGCTCCCAGCCCGCCCCTGCTCCGTCACCCCACTCTCTCCTCCTGGGATCCCGGCTTTGCCTAGATGTGCTGACAGCCTCCCTGGGGTGTCGGTAATGTGGCTGCCAGCAGGGCCCAGAGGGGCGCCCAGAGCAGATGGTGCAGTGGGGCTGGGCTGGTGCTTCCCTAGGAGGGGTCTGCTCCTGCCACCACTCATTCACGGCTTGGCCTGGAGCTGTGGGAGGCACCTCCGGGCAGGCTGCAGTGCAGAGGGAATCACTGGGCATCTCATGTCCATGAGCTGGGGGCAGGGGCAGGGGGTGTCTGGCGTCTGTGAAACCTTGGGCAAGTCACCTCCCTTAGCTGCAATGGTTTCTTCCCTTTTGAAAGGTGTTTAGTTTGAGGATGCGACATCAGGGGTCCCCAGCCTCCTATGACCCTCAGAGGGTAGGGACCTCCCTGCTGCCCACAGCTGCCAGGTCCTCAGAGCCCCAGATAAGGATTATAGCTGGTTCATGGAAGGTGGCCACTTTCCCTGCTGAAAAACGACTCTGAAAACGAGAGATTTCCTCCATTAGCAAATACATTTCTGAACTTCAAGGAGGAAGTGCATGTTAATCAGACATTAAGACAGGCTGTGGAATATTTAATGACACAGAAAGATGTTACTGACATATTGTTGCATGGGGGAAAATCAGGTTGCAAAATGGTGTGTGCGCCCCATCCCAAGTTCACTCCTCGGCCCCGCCCTATCCAAGCACCCCATGCGGGTGGCGTTCTGGAAAAGGCTTGCTAGTCACGGAGGGTTAGGGCAGCTCTTATTTTCTTCACGCTTTTTGTGCTTCCATTTCTCTGGGAACCGGGTATTCATTCTAGAGTCACACCCGCCTCCCTCACCCTCAAATGCTATCAAATGTGCTGATAACTTAAATTAGAAAATCTGCCGCTTAATAAGAAGGAGTCAGTGCTCAGAATAGAACATGTGAAAGATAAAGACTATCATTCCACACAGAAGCCACTACAGGAAAAAGCTGTTTTTAAAGCAAAAGCTTGTTTACTTTTCTCCTCACTTTTCTGTTCTCATTAATTCTAGAACTGGTATTTGTGGGATTTTGTTTAAAGTGTATGAATCTTTTGTCCTAGTTCTTACTCTTGATAAGTACGTGTGTAACTATTTTTCCTTCACAAAAGCAAGAAATTAGAGTTGCTGTACATTTGGAGCTGGCTCTTGAGATCTTTCCCTTTCCCTGGGGTGGGGAGGAGCCAGCGGGCTGGGAGTGTCTGTGTCAGGTTCACTGTTCCTGTGGGCAGGGGTGAGGAACAGCCTGTACTGTGGAGATCAGTGTTTAGGGTTCAACTGTGCTTGGGGGTTAAACTGCCTGCTTCCTTTTCTGATAAATGGGCTGAACGTTAGGTACTTTTTTTTGAGACAGAGTCCCACTCTATTGCCAGGCTGGAGCGCAGTGACACAATCTTGGCTCACCGCAGCCTCCGCCTCCCAGGTTGAAGCGATTCTTCTGCCTCAGCCTCCCGAGTAGCTGGGACTATAGGCACACGCCAGCACGCCTGGCTAATTTTTGTATTTTTAGTAGAGATGGGGTTTCACCATGTTGGCCAGAATGGTCCCCATCTCGACCTCGTGATCCGCTCGCCTCGGCCTCCCAAAGTGCTGGGATTACAGCCGTGAGCCACCGCGTCCAGCCAATGCTACGTACTTTTTAAGCTTGATCAGAAATTCAGGGCAAGTGTCAGCTCCCTTTCTAGGGTGGTCATCTTTGGCCTCCCACCTATTTGGGGGACCACTGGGAAGACTCTGGCCTGGAGGGTGCACGGGACAGAGGAAGGAAGGGCCCATGTGACGTGGTTCTCATTCTGCTCCTTCCTTGTTGTGGGACCTTGAGCAATGCCTCAGCTGTGCTGAGCCTGGTTGCTGTGTCTGTCACACAGGGACGCTAGCACGCTCCTCGTGGGCTTGTTAGAGCTGAGGGGAGGAGCAGGGCCCACACAGTTGCAGGCAGCGCACAGCAGCTGGGAAATCTTCCTGGACGTTCCGGGGTGTCTTCAGAGCTTAAGGAATGTCAGCTCCAGGCCAGGCCCATAGCATGTACACAGCCTGTACCGTCTCGTTTCATCTCCGTGACTGCCCAAACCTCAGAGTGCAGCGGAGGCAGGAGGGACGGCAGGCTCCCTCCCTCCCTCTCTCACAAACTGGTAAAGAAACTATCTCACCGATTGGCTATCTTAGGACAAAGGTTGGAGCCCACAGGAGGTTTGCCCGTCAGGCTTTTATTATAAAAAAGATTCCAGAGTCCCAGCTGCCCTCCTCCGGCCCCCATGGGCTCTGAGCCAGTCCCAACACTGGCTGAGTTGACTTCAAGGGGCCGACATGGCCCCTCGGCCACATAGGGTCGCTTCTGGCAGGAGCGGGATGGGTGCTGGTCTCAGGCTCCGGGGGCGCTCTGCCAGGTCTGCCCGATCTCTGGAGCAGTCTTTTCCAGTGTTGCAGGGGGAGCCTCTCGGGACACTTCCCCGGGTTCTCTGCGCAAGCGCCAGCTATTCACAGTTGGTGCATGATACGTTTTTTTTTTTTTAATATATAAAAGCTTTTTAAAAAAAAAAATGTGGTGCTATCTTTAGAAACACTTCCAGCAAGAGCAAGTAGCCCAGCTACAGCCTAGGTGCATCCTAACCCCTCTCCTTTCCCTGGAGACGGGGCTCTCAGCTCCTGTATTCCCCACCCCTCCCCTCCCCTCCACCCTTCCTGCTCCTGGAGGAGCCCACAGAGCACCCCTTGGCGTGGGCACTGCCCACTCTACCAACAGCCGCCCAAGCAACAAAAACCTGACACTGCTTGAAAGTGTCTGTGGCCAGGATCCTCTTTGGGTGAGGGGAAAGTGGTGATGACGTTTTGGTGGTTGAAGCAGAAACCAATCAAAGGCCGGTTCAAGGACGGCTCCCTGCCCCAGTGTAGATGAGGTAGAGTTTCTGGGCTGCAGCCTCCTCTCCCCGTCTTTGTGCTTGGCTGCCTGGTTGCTCGGGGCTCTCAGCAGCAGGACCAGCTGGGCGCTGCGGAGCGAGTGGGTGGGCACAGTACAGGCCGTGCTGGGCAGACGGGGGAGCCTGACCAGCTCTCTGGCCCCCGTCCCAGAGACTGATCTGGGAACCAGGTGGGAGGGCATGGAGGTCCCCAGGGGTCAAGGCTGAGCACCTCTGCCTGGCTCAGAGCAGCCCCTCCTCCTGCCCCCGCCCCAGCCGTCTCTGCTCAGTATTTCCCAGCCTGAGTCACAGGCAAGGGGTGGAAGATCAGGTCGAGCCCCAGCAGGCATCTTGTTTCCCCAGCAGCAGCCTGACCAGCTCTCCGTGTGTCTCAGGCCTCACTGTAGCACTCGTAGATGTTGTCCTCCATCAAAGCCACCACCTGCTCAAACTTGTACTGCAGCTGTGTCCTCCGGGCCGTGGGGTTGGCCTCTAGTGCGGCCATGATCTGAGGGGAGCAGCGGAGTCAGCCGGGCCCCTCGCGGGGGAGAACGC